TATCCTACTCAAACTCTGCCTTGACCTCCTTATTTGTCTCATCGTCCTGTCTTCTCCAAACTTCTTCTCCCCATATGTGTAACTCTATCATTATTTAATCTTTGAGATCAGTACTTTCAGGTTTTTTTTCTGTGACTTGGAAGTGAAAACTTTGTCTTAGGTCAGAAAACTAGGTATTATAAGATCCAGGATACAAAACTAAGATACACGTATAATGAAAACTTTACATGCACATTAATCTTTTAATGACTCCAACATTTCACATTTCTCGAAGGAAATATGTTGGCATTGTCTATGGGTTAGTGGTTGTAGACAGTAGTTCTCCCCCACTGCTGTAGGCAAAGTGAGAAGTGAATTGGGTTGATCTATGAATAATTTGTCAAAATTCAGAGTTATAACTGGGTCTTTAACAGTGTGTCAGCCTCATGGAGACCAACGTCCTTTTCTAAGTGTGTAGAGTAGGCATTGCAGAGGGAGTCCTTATTTCTTATAATAGGCTCAAGATGGGGGCCTCTTAATTTTGGATCTTCTGTTCTACCACCTTCCTCCGCCCCCACTCACACACAGTTCGTGTTAGAGGCCAATGGTGAAAAAAATATGACTGATTCCTTTCAACACCTTCTTTGTTCCCTCCAGTCTTCCAAGAACTCTAGCATGTTACCTCAAGGGTAGAATTTCCAAACTCAGGATTCATGAGGGATTTTTAAGTTTTAAATAAGAATTTATCTGCATAAAGCTGAGCATCTACCTTTTTATTCTTCTTAATAATAATAATAATAGTAATAGAGAGAGAGAGCATGTGCATAGAGTGTGACCAGGGGTAGAGGGAGAGAGAGAAAAATCTCAAGCAGGCTCCATGCCAGCTCGAGCCCGATGCAAGACTTGATCCCAAGACCCTGAGTTCATGACCTGAGCCAAAACCAAGAGTTGGATGCTCAACCGACTGAGCTACCCAGGTGCCCCTACCTTATTATTTTTATTATAGGAAACATTATATTTTCTTGCTTTTAAGTGGCTATAATAATTGTGTTAATATAATGAATATCTGCCTTCAGTTGGCAATGCTAACTGTGCTACTTTCATCAGAGGGTTGCTGAAGGAAACAAATGAGGTAATGCCCATGAAAGTACTTTATAATTATAACTAGAACTTGGAATTGCACCACTTATTGTCATTATCACCTCTTGGCTGGCTAGAAACATTGGTACTTTAGGCATCTGGAAACATTATCTAGTTCCCAGTGTTGCTTTCCCAGAATGCTTTTATGTACTGAAAAAATATGATTCAGACCTGCAAAATTCTGGAAATTTAGGATGTGTAGTTGACAGTAACAATAACAACAAACTGAATCGTTACAAAAGTCCTGGGAGAGGTAGTTGCTTTGGTTTTTATTTATATAAATTTCCCTAAATAAAATATGGTTAGGCAATTTTCTTTTTTTTTTAAATTATTTTAATGTTTATTTATTTTAGAGAGAGAGAGAGAGTGCACATAGGTTGGGAAGAGAGAGAGGGAAACACAGAATCCCAAGTAGGCTCCAGGTTCCAAGCTGTCAACACAGACCCTGATGCAGAGCTCGAACCCACAAACTGTGAGATCATGACCTAAGCCAAAGTCAGTCGCTTAACCCACAGAGCCACCCAGGCGCCCCAAATTAGGCAATTTTCTACCTTGAGAATTACTGTTCCAAAAGAAAGAAAAAAATTCTAAATTGATACAAATAAAGTTGCAAACTGTGATCGACATGGATCTGGATGAGACATTTTAACATTGCATTTGAAGACTTGGTATATTCTTATTTCTACAAGAAGGGTAGGATTCTACAATAAGGATTCTTTTCAGTGTGCTGAAGAGAAATATAAGTGAGGGCTCCCCTGGCCAAAGTTTCATAATTTTCTAAAATTTTAGCTTTCTTTTATGTGGTTCACTTATTCTTCCTTTCCTCCCCCATTATGTTTTTTTTCCTTTTCATTCCTTGTGTGTGTGTGTGTGTGTGTGTGTGTGTGTGTGTGCAGTCCTCCTTTTCAGCTCCCACATATGCTTGGTTTTATTTAGCATCTTTATCTGTCAGTGTTCTTCCTTCTTAGAGTGTGACGCCCACACCTCCAAAATTGTTGTGCCGTGATGAGTGTACTCCTTGTGTGTAAGAACCTGCATTTATTTGTGAAATTTCATTTCTACTAGAACTAGACTTTGTCATTATTTACACAACTCAAACTTCTTTTTTCTGAACTTCAGAAAATCTTCACTCACAGTTTATATTACAAGACCCTAAAGGCACAGCCTACTACCAAAATCACCCAGTGTTACTTCACATGCAACCGTTCATTGCTTTTAGTACAGACTTCACAAAAGAGTTAGTTTTCTTCTTGTGAGAACCAGTCGAAAACAATGGGACAGGCTTGGAAAAGTATATGTTGTGACATACTTCAAGCCTTCACTCTGAGTCATCTGTAGACCATAGACCATCAGTATGTGAAGGGGATACTGAGGTTTTCATTCTCATTTTCTCTGTGTCTATGTCTCTGTCTCTATCAGACACAATGAGAAAGATTGTTTTCATAGGTGGAAACACTTAAGTGGATATCACCCTGACACCGTGCAATGTAGTGCAAATCCTCAGTGGTAAATATCAACAAAACAAAACAAAACAAAACAAAACAAAACAAAACAAAACAACACCGTTCATTTAAGTCCATTTGTAGCATTTGCAGAGTTGGGTTGGACAGTTTTTAAGTTTGTAAGCTGTTTGTGAAACAGAAAGTATATATAAGTGGTTGGTCATGAACTATCCTCCCTTAATACTTTCAAATATGTATAGATACTGTTTTGTAATGTATCATTTTGGTACATCTTTTGAAAATAATTCACTTTAGTTGATTGCACCTTCTATGATACTTTACTTATGCATTTTTCCCCACCAGAAATAATTAGTTAATGCCCATTTAATTTTTATTATAAATATGTTGACATATAGAACCAATAGATCCTCTAAATGGGTATAATTTCCCCCTGATTTAGGACTTATTTTAGGGGTCCTAAAGTACATATTATAAATAGTATATTTTCATCTGTGGTGTGCTACAGCATTGAATGCAATTATTCTATGGAAAAGATAGGCCCCTGCTACACGATATTTGGCCTTGTGAACATCCCTACAGGCATTGCATGTTTGATGTTTGAGTTCACATTATAAATCACAATGCCTGTTCTTATAATTTAAATGTCTGCTGTTGAGCAGCCCCTTAGAAACTAAATGGAACTGTATTACATTAACAGACAAGCTGAAATAGAAATTCAGAATTGCCCCCTAATTTTACCAACTTTTTAATTACTATTTCTCATAAGGAAATTATGGAGATTGACTTTCCTAAATTCAAAATTCCAAAGCATTCCATTAATTGGGCAAAGAAGAGGGCACTTTGAAATTCACTCTGGTTTTAAAATCACATTTGATGAGGTGGGAAAAATAAAAAGTGAACGGATCAGGGGAAAAGCTTAAAGATACTTTAATTGGCAGAGGTTTGAGTTGCTTTTGTTTAGTTACTCACTGTCCTTTTGACAAAGTACATGTTGAAGAGGCTTTGTAAGTGCTGTTCCACTGAAGGACAAACAAGGGTACTTTTCAATTGAGCCCTTTTAAGTTTTGTTCCTTCACACTCCCGCTGCTGTTGGAGGCTACTCCTAATGCATTGTGACTCTGTGTTCATCTGTGCAGTCTGTCACTGGAAAATGTCTCTCTTCTTGTTGAGCAAGCTAGAGTCTAACCTGCAGGCACCCTTTTCAAAGGCACCACTGTATGGAAATCGACACTCATAAAATGATGATAAAGAAAAGAGTTTATTTTTTAAAGGTCAGGACAAGAAGACACCCTCCAATGCTGCCGAGCCTCTTTCTTCAGGAAGAAGTGTTTTAACTTTAGCACAGTTAGTGGAGTTTGAAGCCTTGTAATTTTTCAACACTAAAGAGAAACTTTGTCTGCTGTCATCTCTTTTTCAAGTCGTATCCATTGTAGCGGTTTATCTTGATAGTTTTTTATTTCATTAAGTGCTACAGGAAATTAATTTATATTTTCTTTTAAGACCTTCTGACTTGGACTGTGACGGCCCACAGATTACCTTTGGGCTCTTATTTATATAAAGTAGTAGGTCCCTGAGCTGAGATCCAGGATTGTCTGGACAAGAAATCCATTTGGCCAAGAAAACTTGTGTTCTTCTTTTTGACTAGAACTTGTACATTTGTTAGTAATATGAAAGGATGCTTAATATCATGTCCTTAATGTTCATCTTTCTGAGAACAATCTAGCCAGGATTCTTTTCTCAGGTGTCTATTTGTCTGTTAATATAAGAGTTCTATTTGATTCCTGCTCATACGTGAGTTTGTCTGAGAAGACTCTGTAAACGATCACTGCAACATCTCTGTGCCCAAATGCTTTTAATATTTTCTAAACCTTTCAGATAAATATGACACCCCTATTTTTCTTGTCCTTCACTAAAACTGTCAGTTCCAGGTTTTCAGTTTTAATTACATGGATCACTTTAAAAAGACCCACTGACCCAGGCTGTGCATTTCAAGGTAAACATTAACGGAATGTGCCAGCCCTTCTTGTTGCTTATGTGCCACAGCTTTTGGATATACCATTTATTTAAGAGTGAAGAGCCAGCCACCTGTTTCTGAGCCCTCTTTTCCCTCACATTAAAGGTTCAGGCCCTTGCTGAATAGTAACACTCTAATCTGGGGAACAGACACAGCATTTTTCTGAAACTGATTTCTCACACTAGACTAGCTGGAGGATTTTCTGTATTTGCGCATGTATGTGTTTTTTTCACTCAGTTACCCTCAAGGCACTTGTCACGACCATGCATATTAAAATTAATCAGACCTCCTAGGCCTGTGTGGCTGTGTGTTTAACATGAAGAAGTGGATATCAAGCAAATGCCCTAATTAAATAGGCCTGCTTGGTTTTGTTCTAGTGGATGCTTGGTCTTTTTTTTTAATAGGAGTTGCTTACAGGGAAGGCACGGACAGCATTAGAGTCAGTGGAGAGCTCACTCAGAGTTTCCTGTGCCACCTGCTCCCAGAGTTCTGAGACCACAAGGACTCCCAGTGTGCCTTTCTTAACTACCCTTAATGTTGAGGAGAAGTGTGACCAAGATGGTAAGGGAGCAGTGAGGCTAGGGCAAGCCAGAATGAGCATATGACCTGGATATTTGGATTGATTAAGAAAGTCCATCTTACGTGATGATAAACTTCGGATAGCAGATTGTGCTCAGTGCTCCTGTTTTTGGATGATGAAGTTTAACAGTTAAGAGGAAGATCATATGTGAAATTTAGAATGCATGTCCTTCCTTTTATGTCTTGAAGTTGAAAACCAGCTTTTATTCCTTTATCTTTGCAATTAATTATTTCCTAGGTCATCTACATATCACATTTATGAGGCAATAAATGAATAAGTGGATAAAAAAAACTATATATTTATACATTATAACAGACAAGCTGAAATAGAAATTCAGAATTGCCCCTAATTGCCT